GTTCGAACACACACTCTTAAAGAAATCTGCATAACTACCAGTCTACCACCCATCTAAGCAATCCACCTCTCTGTTATGTCGCCCTATTTAAAAGACTTATATATGTAACAGATACTTGAGTCTATTTGACTACCCTTAGAATAGGTCCGCCTCTGTCAGACCTTTCTTGAATTCTGGTAAAATTGAAAAGAACGAGTTCTTGCAGATGCCGGAAAAGAAGAAGTCGCCGGCGCGACTCCCGGCCCTTTATCGGGAAGGAGAAATGATTTCGCCGGTGGAATTCTCTAGAAGAATTCGCTCCAGGTACCCCTTCATCCCATGCCCTCCACCACCACCGCCGCCACCACCGCAACCGGAGAATTCAGATGGCAATTTTGACGAATTTGATGAATGGGTCCGGTCCAAGGAGATGGCTGTGCTTTCTCAAGATTCTGCAGGACCCTCCACAGCATCCTCTGCTTCGCCGGGGTTTTTGTCTGATCCGGTGGTCAAAGGCCTGTTAGACTGCGCCAGTGTAGCTGATTTGGAGCCGGAAAGTGCGAAGAAATTGCTGCATCAACTCAGAGGTTCGGTTCCCCCAGACGGAAATTCGAATGAGCGATTGGGGTACTATTTCCTGGAGGCCCTTTCCAGCCGGATTCTCAAGAAACCGGCGAGGGTTCCCCTGGCGTTAGACTCCTGTTGGGAGGAGTTTTCCATATCATACAGAGGGTTCTACCAGAGATGTCCATATTTGGAATTTGGGTTCTTGGCATCAAATATAGCTATTCTGGAAGCCTCAAAGAACTCTGCAAGAATTCATATAATCGATTTTGGGATGTTTCATGGGCTTCAGTGGGAGGATCTTTTACCGGCTCTGGCCGGCCGACCCGCCGGGAAACCCGAGAATGTCAGGATAACGTGCATTCCATCTGCTCTCATGGGAAAGAGCGCCGCCAGAATTCTCCAAGGGACGAAAAGGCATCTCCATGATTTTGCCAGAGTTTTCAAGATGAATTTGGAGTTTGAATGCGTGGAGATGCCGATCGAGGAGCTAAACGGGTCAAATTTGCGGGTCGACCCGGATTACTTTTTGGGCATCAATTTCAGGCTGGAACTCTTCAACCTCTTAGACGATATAACCTCAGATGTACCGGCCGCCTTTAAGCTGAGCAAGCGACTGAAGCCGGACGTGGTGACGCTGGGTGAGTACCCAAACCGGGTCGGGTCAGGACCGACCCGTTTCAAGAACACCCTCCATTTCTATTCTTCGATATTGGAGTCTCTGGATCGCAGCCTGCCCACAGACGCACCCGGAAGGCTAGAGCTGGAGCGATTGATGATCCGCCGCAGGATTTTAGTGACGGTGGGTTTCCTAGAACCGCCGGCCCAGTTGGAAGAGAAAGAACCATGGATGTTGCTGATGAAAGCTGCAGGGTTTGAGGCTTTACCCGTGAGTGATGACACAAAGGTTGAAGCACGCATTCTCCTCTCCAAAAAGAAGTACAGTCAATCATATGGCTTAATTGATTTTCCGGTGGGATGCCTATCGCTAGCATGGAACGGTGAAGCTATCTTCAGTGTTTCTTCGTGGCACTGATCTTTTTGCCCCACCCCCCAAAAAAAAAAAAAAAAAAGAAGAAACGGGAATAAACAGAAACAAAAAACACAGTAAATTTCTTACTCGTCTTCATCCTCTGCCCTCAATGGCGTGGGAAAAAACATAAACAAAAAACAGTATTCATTGGTGATACCCCTTCTAATATAGGCCCAATTATTTTTTAGCCATTCTTTTATTCTGTACTTGTAGAATTTAGAGTAAAACTGATCTGTTTTGCATTGATGTTAGAGGTTGTTTATATACTGAATACATAACGGGTTACGGGCTAGGTTACATGTGGGCCCAATACAAAGTAAATACAAATACCCGCTAACACTCCCCCTCAAGTTGGCGCATGAAGATCCAGAATGCCCAACTTGCGTAACAAGAAATCAAAAATAGGTTTGCCCAATGGCTTAGTGAAGATATCGGCCAACTGGTAGCGAGTTGGCACGTATCGTGTCGATACCTCTCTTCGCTGAACACTTTCTCGAATTGTGTGACAATCCACATCCACATGCTTCATTCGTTCATGAAAAACCGGATTGGCTGCAATGTATAAAGCGGATTGATTGTCACAATACAATCGGGGAGGATATAAAATCGGCACACCCAAAGCAAGAAGAATTCCTCGTATCCACCGGACTTCCACACAAGCATTTGCCATAGCTCTGTACTCCGCCTCTGCTGAAGATCTGGCAACAGTGATTTGCTTTTTCGTCTTCCATGACACCGGAGAAGTCCCTAACATGATAAAATACCCGCTAACAGAACACTTTCTACCCGCTAAAATACTCTAAATTCTACAGTACTTATACATGTTGGACACGATTTTATTATGTGGCCTGAGTTATCATTTATCTAATTAATTGATCATTGACCTAATAAATACCCTGCGTATTTATTTGGTAATTATTCGATGGACGTAATTACCCTTATGACCTAATTAGGGTTTCCCCTTGGGTGTATAAATAGTGGTCATTAGGCAGAGATCAACACACCAATCTTACGCCTCCTCTCTGCCTCTCTATTCTCGTGAGTCTCATCCTCACCTTAGCCATCATAACGATACACCCTAAACGGGAACTCGATCTGCGTGAGAATCATGGCCTCATCCCTAACTGCGTTTACAGGATTATCAGGTACACATGATTAATTCCTGATTTATATCTTTTATGTTTAAGAATTGATCAACATGTGGTATCAGAGCTTTATGTTGATAAATCAATTCCTTTTATTTTCCCTGAACGGTAATCGGAAATTATAAACTGTGAAAATTCTTTTGAAATACGTTTTTTTTTCCGATCTGGATTATCACGTTTCTGCCATTATAGAGTTTTCCAAACCATCGTGCAGTAGTTATAGCTTGTGCTAAAAGTCATCATACACTTTAATCTCTCCATCTCCTAAATTTGGGATCAAATTTGAAAATTAATCATTGAGATTACCGTGTTTGATTCAATTCCAGTAATTAAAAAAAAAAATTTTTCTATGGATTTTGATCAAAGTTGGATCGGCAACCTTAAGAAAAAAAACAAAGAAGAAATTGAAATCTGGTTTGGAAATTACAAATCATTTTTGATCTCTTAAAAATAAACGAAATTAACTTTCGTAAGATCCTAACTATTCCAGATATCATAACAAATTCTTAAAGTTATTGTTTTTTTTCGTCAATCCCAATCCAGTAAGTATAAATTTGATAATATGTTTATGGAAATCATCCTTATTTTGATGAAATCTTCTTATTTTGGTATTTGATTTGGAATATAATTGTGTTTTCTTTAAATTCTATGACATATCTCACTTTTGCATGATATATTCTGTTTCCTTATTTTATTGACTTATTTTACCAAAAATATCAAAACTAAATAAGGGATATGCTAAAATACCATTAAAAAGTTAATTTTTTTTTACTTGTTGGAAAATCTCTTGCCTTATACTCCGTATGTCTTTTGATTTTCTAATTAAATTAATCTTAATGGGTCCCCAATTTTGTAGCCCCGCCCCGAACCGCTATAACTTTTGCGGTTAATTTATTATTAACAATAAATTATAAATCATTTGACTAATCTTAAATAAAATTTATTTTTTTATGATTAGTTAAATTGATTTATTTTGCTTGACTTGAATAATACCTTAGAGTACACTTCTGCCCAAAGGTGATGTGTAACATTTGTAAAATTTATTTCAAATCTTATTAAGCATTGTCACTTAGTGCATATCCTTAAATGGATGTTTGCATGACACTCGCCTTAAATACATAATATTTCACTTCTGTCCAAAGATGATGTGTTATAATTGTGTAATGTGAACTAAATATATATGTGCATTAAAATTTAAATGTTTCACTTCTGCCCAAAGGTGATGTGTAACATTCAAATTGCACATGATTATTTTATTATTCATAATGCTTAAATAAGTGGTCATAACCAAAGTGAAAGCCATTTGTTTAAGTAGAATTAAATTTAGTCTATTATTTTGGTGTTATAATAGACTCTTATCACAGCTTCATTACTATATAATGGTCCTTA